GTGGCAGCACTTATAGGAATCTAGCTTAAAAATATGTAAATTACTGTTCTTGCTTTGTCTAAATATTTGTACTTACTACATTACTTCTTTTTAAGCAATCAATAATAGTTAGCGAGTATTTAACTACACAGGGACAGTGTGGTATCGGTATTACCCTAGAATCGAGGCTGATAGTCATATGCACATGTATTTTTAAAAAAACGGTATTCTATTTTTCCTGAGAATGCATTCACAAAAAGATTACTTATAAAGAAAATATCCAAAAGTTATGAATGTCTTAGGATTTCTTTCGAACTCTCTTGCAAAATTTATCTCACCTTCAAATGATTCTTTATACTGGACAATATTTGGATGCTTCATGTTTGCCAACACTGCAACTTCTCTCCTTGATTCTTCCCTTTCTTTACTGGACATCTTAAATGGGAGGAAAAAAGAAAACAGTAAATTAAAACATTAATAACCTAAAAGTCCATCAATAAGGGAGTGGTCAGGCCAAGTGTAGTGGTTCACGTTTGTAATCCTAGCATTCTGGAGGCTGGGGTGGGAGGATCGCTTAAGGTCAGGAGTTTGAGACCAGCATGAGCAAGAGCAAGACCCTGTCTCTATAAAAAATGGAAAAATTAGCTGGGCCTCGTGCTGCATGGCTATAGTCCCAGCTACTCGGGAGGCTGAGGCAGGAGGATTACTGGAGCCCAAGAGTTTGAGGCTGTAGTGAGCTATCACAATGTCCCACTGCATCCTAGCCTGGGCAACAGAGCAAGACCCTATCTCAAAAAAAAAAAAAGTGGTTAAAAAAATAACGGTACCAATACAGCTGAATCAACAAAATATAGCAAGAAGTTAAAAAGAATGAATTGAATCTCTAAGTAAAAACATTTTAAGATGTCCAAATTAGATTAAGTTACAGAACAGTAGGTATATTTTCCTAAACACACGAATGCAAGCACAAATCATATATAATATCTGAAAGAATATGCAGACTATCCTGAAATTAGAGGTTGTCTCTGGGACTACAGCATTTCTTTTGCTTTGGGTTAT